CTCTGTCTCTCATTCTCTCTCTCTCAAATAAATAAAAATAAAATCTTTAAAAAAAAAAAAAGATTTTATTTTTAAGTAATCGCTACACCCAATGTGGGGTTTGAACCCACAACCCCAAGATCAAGAGTTGCATGTTCCAGGGTGCCTGAGTGGCTTGGTTGCTTAAGTGTTTGAGTCTTGATTTCGGCTCAGTTCATGATCTCAGGGTCCTGGGATCAAGCCCCATGTAGGGCTCTGTGCTCAGCACAGAGTCTGCTTATCCCCCTCTCTCTGCTCCTCCCCATGCTCTCTCTCTCTCTCTCTCTCACTCCCTTGCTCTCTCTCAAGTAAATAAATAAAATCTTAAAAAAAAAAAAAAAGAGTTGCATGTTCCACCAACTGAGCCAGCCAGGCATCCCAGCCACAAAACAAGACTTAATAAATTTTGAGATTAAAGTCATTCAGAACATCTTTGCCAATCACAATGAAATACAACTAGAAATGAATAACAGAAGGAAGACTGGAAAACTCACAAATATGTGGAAATTAAACAATATACCCTTAAAAAAACCAATGGGTCGAGGCGCCTGGGTGGCTCAGTTGTTAAGCATTGGCCTTCAGCTGAGGTCGTGATCCCAGGGTCCTGGGATCGAGCCCCGCATCGGGCTCCCTGCTCAACAGGGAGCCTGCTTCTCCCTCTCCCACTCCCCCTGCTTGTGTTCCCTCTCTCACTGTCTCTCTCTCTCTCTCTGTCAAATAAATAAATAAAATCTTTAAAAAAAATGGGTCAAAGAAGAAATCACAAGGGAAATTAGAAAATACTTTGAAATGACTGAATATGGGGGCACCTGGGCGGCTCAGTCAGTTAAGCATCTGCCTTTGGCTCAGGTCATGATCCCAGGGTCCTGAGATCGAGCCCTGCATCAGGCTCCCTGCTCTGTGGGAAGCCTGCTTCTCCCTCTACCACTCCCCCTGCTTGTGTTCCCTCTCTCGCTGTGTCTCTCTCTGTCAAATAAATAAATAAAATCTTTAAAAAAAATGACTGAATATGAAAACACAACATACCAAAATTTAAGGGATGCAGTGAAAATAGTGTTCAGAGGGAAAACTTTTTAAGATTTTGTTTATTTATTTGAGAGAGAGAGAGAGAGAACAGGCTCCCTGCTCAGGGATGTGGGGTTGGATCCCGGGACCCTGAGATCATGACCTGAGCCGAAGGCAGGCGCTTAACTGACTGAGCCACCCAGGAGCCCCCAGAGGGAAATTTATAGCTATAAATGCCTACATTAAAAAAGAAGAAGAATCTCAAATCAACTGGAAACCTTAAAGAATTATAAAGGAAGAACAAACTAGGAGAAGGAAGTAAATAATAGCAAATAGAATGAGGATAAATGATATAGAGAGTAGAATAACAATAAAGAAATCAATGAAACCAAAAGTTGGTTCTTTGAAAAAAGATCAACAAAATTGACAAACCTTTAGCTAGACTGACAAAGGAAAAGAAAAAGATAGCAGACAATAAATTAAATCAGAGATGAAACTGGGAAGGGGTGCCTGCGTGTCTCAGTTGGTTAAGCAACCAACTCCTGGTTTTGGTTCAGGTCATGATCTCAGGGTTGTGAGATCGAGCCCCACACTGGGCTCCATGCTGAGCTTAGAGTCTGCTTGAGATTCTCTCCCTCTCCCTCCCCATCTGCCCCTCCCACTGCTCACATGAGCTCTCTTTCTCTCTCTCTCTCAAAAAAGAAAGCAAAAGAAAAGAAAAGAAATGAAACTGGGGAAATTACTACTGACTTTAAGGACAGAAAAAGAATTATAAGAGAATCCTGTGAACAATTGTATGTTAACAAATTAGATAACCTAGAAGAAATGGACAATTTCCCTGAAACGCACAAATAACCTAAATTGACTCAAGAGGAAATAGCAGATCTCAACAAACCTAAGACAAGTAAAGAGATTGAATTGGTAATCAAAACCTACCAATAAACAGGGACAGCTGACTGGCTCAGTTGGTAGAGCAAGAGCATATAACTCTTAATCTCAGGGTCTTGAGTTCAAGCCCCATGTTAGGCATGGAGCATACTTAAAATTAAAAAAACAAAAACAAAACAAAAAAATCAAACCTACCAATAAACAAAACTTCTGAACCAGATGGCTTTGTAAATGAATTCTACCTTGTGTGTGTGTGTGTGTGTGTGAGTAAACCGATAGAAGTTTATTAAGTGAAGATACAGAAAAAGCTCTCAAGAGTGAGAGGGGTCCCGACAGGGTTGCCTCTACCAAACATTTAAAAAAGAGTTAACACCAATCCTTCTCAAACTCTTCCCAAAAATTGAAGCGGGGGGCGGGGGCGGTGCCTGGGTGGCTCAGTCATTAAGCGTCTGCCTTCTCTCTCTATCAAATAAATAAATAAAATCTTAAGAAAAACTGAAGAGGGGGGATCAATTCCTAATTCATTCTATGAGGCCAGCATTATTCTGATACCAAAGCCAAATAAAGGTATCACAAAAAAGAAAATCACAGACCAAAATCCCTTATGAATATACAGGCAAAAATCACCAACAGAATACTAGTATATAAAACCCAACAGCGTTTAAAGGATTATTAACCATGAGTGAGTGGGAATATCCCTGAAATGAAAGCATGGTTCAACAAGGAAAATCAATCAATATAATACATCACATTAATATAATGAAAGGAAAAACTACATGATCATCTGATACTCCTCATGATAAAAATACTCAACAAAGGGCACTTGTAGCTTAGTCAGTTAAGCATCCAACTCTTGATTTAGGCTCAGGTCATGATCTTGGGGTTGTGGGGTCGAGCCCCATGTCAGGCTCCATCTTAGCAGAGTCTTCTTCTCTCCCTCTCCCTCTGCCCCTGCCTCTGCCCCCATGCACTGTCTCTCTCTCTCTCTCTTTCTCTTACAAATAAATATTTTTTAAAGATTTTATTTATTTATTTCAGAGAGAGAGAGAGTACAAGCAGGGGGGAAGGGGCAGAGGAAGAGGGAGAAGCAGGCTCCCCACTGATCAGGGAGCCCGATGTAGGGCTCGATCCCAGGACCCTGGGATCATGACTGCAGCTGAAGGCAGATGCTTAACCACTGAGCCACCCAGGCACCCCAATAAATAAATCTTTTAAAAGATACTCAACAAACTAGGAATAGAAGAAACTACCTCTATATAATAAAAGCCACACAATAACTCACAGCTAACTTCATACTTATGGTAAAAGACTAAAAGCTTTTTCTCTAAAATCAAAACAATACAAAGATGTGAGCTTTCAACATTTCTATTCAACATCAATTCTCTGGTCTCTGGCCAGAGAAATTAGGCAAGAAAAAGAAATAAAAAGGCATCCAAATTGAAAAGGAAGAAATAAAATTATTTTCTGTTTGTACACGGCATTATCTTACAAGACCCTAAAGATCGTACAAAATACTGTTAAAACCAATAAGCAAATTGAGTAAAGTTGCAGGATACAAAATCAACAAACAAAAATCAATCGCATATTTATACACTAAAAATGAATGATTCAGAACGAAAATTAAGGAAACAATTCCACCTATAATAGTATCAAAAATATGAAATATTTAGGAAAATCTTAAGTAAGGAGACCAAAGGTTTGTGTGCTGAAAACTATGAAGCATTGCTGAAAGTAAAGAAGACACAAATAAATGTAAAGACATCCCAAGTTTGTGGTCTGGAAGACAATATTGTGAAGATGTCAATGCTACCCAAAATGATATACAGATCCAATGCAATCCCTACCAAAATTCCAATGATGTCTTTTGCGGAAATAGATCAATCCATCCTAGAATTCACAGGGGATTCCAAGGTACCTCAACTACTCAAACCAACCTTGAAAAAGAAAAAAAAAAAATTGTAGGACTCATGCATCCTGATTTTAAAACTTACTACAAAGCTACAGTAATCAAAACAACATAGACACATACTGGCATACAGACAGACATAGCAGCTGCTTCTAAGTCTTTGTCAGACATTTCCAACTTCTATGCCATGTCAGTGTTGATATCTATGGATTCCTCTTGCCAGGCAAATGGAGATTTTCCTAGCTCTCTTTGGGCTGAGTGATACATGTTCATTGTTACAAAATCACTGGATTGTATCCTGGACATTTTGATTATGTCATGGGACTCGGTGTTCTGTCTAAATCCTATGAGAATGTTGTTATTCTTGTTTAAATAGGCAATTGACTTGGTTGAGTTCGGGCTGCAAGTTTTATCCAGTTTTCTGTGGGTTGTGAATTGCTATCGGTTCCATTTACAAAGTCTTCGCAGTGCTATTCAGCTCTGTCCTCCAGATGCACCATCCAGTGGCCAGTCTGGAACCTGGGTGGTGTCTGCCCTAGTTTAGTTTTCAAAATCTGTGGTGTGCTGTTTAGAGTCAGACCCACAGAGTATTAACCCACAGTGGTTAATAAACCACTTTGCAATCTTCCCAGTCCTTTCCAGTTCCTTGGGGTTGGTTCCCTTTTGTGGTCCTCTGGCCAGAAAGGAATGGCTTTATTTCCCCCATTTTGCCACATTCTGCCATGACTGGACCCATATCTGGAGCCAAGGGGTGGGGGGCGGGGTGGGGGAGAGAGATTAAGGCTCTCCCTCTTGGGAATCACAGCCCCTCTGATCAGAGATGAAGATTCTCCTCACTCAGAATTTAGGCTCCCGAAGGTCCCTTGCTGTCACTGCTCCTGCTGCTGCCACCATCAACTCAAAATTGCCTAGGGGGTGAGAAAAGAAAGACCAGAAAAAAAGACAAAAAGAAGAATGGTATCTTCCCATATTTCTCTCCATGTTTAGAGTGCCCTTTCCCACTCCTCTAGCTCCTGGAGCTCTCCGTTCGTGCTGTGTGCATTTCCAGATTTCAGACTGTGTTGAGTCTAGACTAGGGGATACTTGAGGGGGAAAAGGAGGAAATTCACTACTGGTCCAGTAATACTTCGAATTCTGGCATTCTTCCCCAATGTGCCCATTATGGTTTATTTTTTCTCTCCAGGTTTTATATCTGCATTCAGTGGGAGAGACAGGGTGGAGTGTGCTGATTCCATCTCATCTGGAACATTTCATTTTGTAGGATGTCCTCAACACAGGGATGCGTTATGACTTTGGTAGGTCCTAGACACTTTTGCATTTGTGGGCTCCTTCCTCTATAAAAGAAAAATAAAATACATTTCATATCACTTTGGTACAAAGATGAATATAATCCAGGCTGGATTCATTACTATTAACATTCATTTATTTCTTCTGATTTCAAAATAAATTAAGACTTAAGTATTTTTGTGGGTCTCTAAAAATATCATGGATAAATTGGCGCCATCTCAGTCTGGGTCTGTTCAATGTTTCCTTGAGACTAGACCCAGAATGTGTCAGAGTACTGCTGAAATGATACTGTGTTATTCTCAGCATATCAAGATGACTTGATCATCATGGGAACCTCGACTGGTCATAGGAACCTTGGTTCCATTGTCAAATTGCTGCCTGCTGGACATTTTCTCCTTTGTGCCGGATAAGTTTTGTGGGGAGATATCTGAGACTTTGCCAATTCTCCAGTTGTCTCTATTTGCCTAATAAACTACCCTCAAATTTACTGCCATTACAAAAACCATTTTATTGTGCTTCTGGATTCTGTGGATCAGGAATTCAGACAAAGCACAGGTCTGCCTTGTCTCTGCTCCTCCATGATCTGGGGCCTCAGCTGAAATGACTTAAACTACCGGACGTGTCTTAAATGGCTGGTGGCTGGAGGATCCACTTCCAAGATGGCACCCAGGCTGGGGGGTGCTGACAGATAGGCTCGGTGGGGATTCTTGTCACCAACATGTGGTTTCTTGTTGTGGCTTAGGCTTTTTACAGCATGACTGTGTGGTTCTGAGAGTTCACAAGAACACCAGAAAGAGGTTCCAGGGGACGAGGGCAGAAGTTGCAGGGTTCTCCTGGTCTGGCCTTAGAATTCACAGTGTCATTCCTGCCATGTTCTTTTGGTTACTGGTGAATCTCTATGCTCCGCCCAGATTCAAGGAGAGGGAAACTATTCACCTTCTGATAGGGGTGTGCCAAAGAGCATGTGGAGTGGGGAGATTTTGTTGACACCAATTTTGGTTTTGGAAAATACAGTCTGTATTTTGCAGTATTCTGTTCCTCATCAAATCTTCACCTACCAGCCTTAGAGCATCCATGAAGTCTCCAGCCTGAATCAATCAACAACTGTGATGGTTTCTCTATTTCCATCACTCCCTCTATTTTTATTGGTTGGCTTTGTACTGTAAGGAAGAGGTTTCCCTTCTCCTTAAACAATATGACTCATGGATTTCTAAGTTACAATGTGTTGTAGTTGGTTATCATCATTTTTATTTTGATGCTCTAATTGCCCCAGACTTGGTCGGTGGGAGCCCCTTTATGTCCTTTTGGCATCTCATTATTATTCTCTTATTTTTAAATTTTTTTAAAAGATTTTATTTATTTATTTGACAGAGAGACACACAGTGAGAGAGGGAACACAAGCAGGGGGAGTGACAGAGGGAGAAGCATGCTTCCCGCCGAGCAGGGAGCCCGATGCGGGACTCGATCCCAGGACTCTGGGATCATGACCTGAGCCGAAGGCAGACGCTTAATGACTGAGCCACCCAGGCACCCCTTATTCTCTTATTTTTATTTATTTTTTTAAAAGTAGTCTCCATACCAAGCATGGAGCCCAACATGGGACTTGAACTCACAACCCTGATATCAAGACCTGAGCTGAGATCAAGAGTTGGACACTTAACCGGCTGAGCCATCCAGGTGCCCTGTCACTATAATTCTCTGAATGCTTTCTTATTTTCCAGGTGCCCCACTGACATTGGAATTAGCCTTTTCTTCAAGAAGACCTAATTCCTTTTGGTGAAGGATGATGTTTAGAAACCGGGATCTGGGTGTTCTGATGTGCTTGTTGCTAATGGGATGACAGTGTTTCTCGGCCCTCTCAGGGGGCAGTGCACACATACAAACATATGTGTATGTATATACACACACCTATACAAACACACACATATACATATACACACACATATACAAATATATTTGTATAATATATAATTTATATAATTATAATATATGTTATATGTATGTGTGTTGTGTGTGTGTGTATGTGTATATATATATATATATATATATATATATATATATATACACAACACACATACAATACCTACACACACATACAATTCACCCTGGCAGCTCCAATTCCTTAGGCCTGCCCCCTTTCCACATTTGTAATTCTCCTCCAGTAATGAGAAAAACCTGGCTCCCATTATCCTCAATAGATTTGCTCAATCCCCTGTGTGTAACTGATTTTCCAACTCCACCAGCTGCCCTCTTGGCTTCCAGCCATGTTGCCATCTCCAAGGGAAAGGAAGGGAGAGGGAGGGAGGAGAGGGGAGAGGAGGAGGGTTTCAAGCACTTGGCAAGCTCGCCCTCCACTCCATCCCTACTTCCCCTGCTTCAGTAGGTCTCTGTGGCTAGGGGCCCTCGGCTCTCTCTGCCTCAGCCTCTTTTTCAGCCCCTTCACTCCTTCTGGCTCCTGAGAGAGTTTCTTTTTTATTTTTTAAATATTTTATTTATTTATTTGACAGGGAGAGACACAGCGAGACAGGGAGCACAAGCAGGGGGAGTGGGAGAGGGAGAAGCAGGCTTCCCGCCGAGCGGGGAGCCCGATGTGGGGCTCGATCCCGGGACTCCAGGATCATGACCTGAGCGGAAGGCAGACGCTTAACGACTGAGCCACCCAGGCGCCCCTTTATAATTTTTTTTTTAATTACAAAAACATTTCATGCTCATCTTTACGAATTCAAATAATGCAAAGCATGTAAAGTGAGGCATGAAAGTGTATAGCTGCCCCCCTGGACTCCACTTCCAAGAGAGAACCAGAATTCTTTCCTGGGCTTCTAAGAGCACTCATGTATATTTATACAATTTTAAATATTCATAAGCTAGTTTGATATATTTTCATTGCTTGTTTTCTGGGTCTGAGCATAACACATCTGCCACAATCTTAAACAGACACATTGGAATCCATTAAAAGAATGTATAGTAATTTATCCTTTGACCTACAGACTGTTTTTAAAGGTAACTTTCACTGGTGCCGGATGCCCTTCATAACCACTGTCCAACCCCCCACCCCACCCCAGAACCCTGTTCAGCATCGGCAGGCGGGTTTTTGCCCGGATTTGGTCAGGGAAGGCGGTTAGGGATTTGGAAGGGGAAGGAGAGTGAGTTGTGGGTGCTTACTACTTCGCTTCTCCGCAGGGTTGCACCCGGCCGGCCATGACCGCCACAGCTCCTGCAGGGGGCGCTCTCCATACAGCTCCTCCTCGCATCCCTCCAGGCCCAGGGAGGGCTACAGCCACTGCCCGGTACTTTGTGGTTTCCCTCCACCTTTCCCACACTTGAGTAAATAGTCCCTTTATCAAACTCAGATTAGCTTATTTGCATGTGCGGGACGGTTGCACATGGGGACAGCACAGCATGGTCTCAGGGACCGTTTGCCAAGCGCTCACACACACCATGGCAGGCAGTTCCACCCGCCGAGGGCTCGCTAAAATGTGCATGCAATTACTGCCCCGCCCCCACCCCGGGAGACAATCCCGGGCTTGTTATTGCTGAAGAATAGAGAACAAAAACCCTCGGGGGCAGCACCGGAGGCCCCTGGTCCGCCGGGCGTCTGCACATACCACACCCTCGGCTCCCGCCACACAGGGGAAACAGGTCCCGGAGACGTCAGATCGCAGTAAAGCATGTTTGAGGCTAATTGCCAGCACCCAAAGAATTCTAACAGGTTTCTTCTATTCTGACTCAGCCATATGGACAGCCACGCAGCGCGGGCTCGGTCTCTAAGGCGCGCGGGCACACACACGCACCGCACAGCTCTCTGGCAGCCCCTGCCACGGCAGGTGGGGAAACTCAGTCCCGACTGTCTGGGAGAAGGCGGCCTGGGTTCTGCTGCATACTGGCCATGACCTTGAGTTGGCTGCCTCCCTGCTGCCGGGAGCCTCTCCCCAGGGATCACGAAGACCATCAGGGCCACGGTTATGAATGAATGAGGCCGGCACAGCCTCTCAAGCCCAGGGCACACAGCAAGTGCTAACTCCCTCCCAAGCTCCTCAGGGGCTCACTCGGATTCCCTTTGTCTCTCCTGGCCCAGGGGTCATCTCTCCACACAGACCATGGTCTAACCACCATTGTACCCTGGGCTGCTGGCCCACTGAATGTTGCTGACCACCGCCCCTGTGGCCACCTTATAGCTCCATGCACAGCCCTACTGGAGCACTTCCCTCCCTGGGAGGGCCTTCCCTCTCAGCTTTCTGGATTCTCCCAACCACACTACCCCAGGAGAGCCCAAAGTCTGGCCTGAGCCTTTTTTTTTTTTTTTAAGATTTTACTTATTTATGTGACAGAGAAAGAGAGCGAGCGAGCGAGCACAAACAGGGGGAGCAGGAGAGGGAGAAGCAGGCTCCCCACTGAGCAGGGGCTTGATGCTGGGATCATAAGCTGAGAGGAAGGCAGAGGCTTAACCGACTGAGCCACCCAGGCGCCCCAGAGCCTTTTTACTTTTTATCAAGGTGTGCACCCAGAAGAAGGGGCCTCTGTCCCCAGATTCTGCACTCTGAAGTCTGAGTGGACTCAGCAAGCAAGCACTTGTGAAGGAATGAACTGTTTTGGGGTCCTGAAATAACATTAAAGTTTTTTTCCCCCTTCTGATCTTAAAAGTACAACTACTTACCAAATTTTTGGAAAATACAAAAATAGTAATGCAAAACCAAAATAGAAATCCAACCACCCAGAGGTAATTGTGACTCCAATTGTGGTAATTCCTTTAGGTCTTTATTTTTCTTTTTAAGATTTTATTTATTCATTTGACAGAGAGAGAGAGAGGGAGAGCACATTCAGGGGGAGCGGCAGGCTGAGGAGAGGGAGAAGCAGGGTCCTGGGATCAAGACCTGAGCTGAAGGCAGACGCTTAACTGACTGAGCCACCCAGGCGCCCCTTCCTTTGGGAAGTAAGCTCTACACCCTACAGGGGGCTTGAACTCAACTCACTCTACACCCTACGGGAGGCTTGAACTCAACTCACAACCCCAAGATCAAGAGTAGCATGTTCTACTGACTGAGCCAGCCAGGCACCCCTCCTTTGAGCCTTTTCTATGTGTCTGTAGGCTATATATATATATTTCTCTGTATATTTGTACATTTATGTATATAATTAGCACATGCTTTCATATGCTTTGTGTTTTGCTTTTGTCATTTAACATCATTTTTCTCATTTTTCTCCTAATTTTAATTTTTCTGATTATTTAAATTTCCTATTTTCCTATGTAAGCCTTCTAAAATTCAGGAACAGCAGTTCAAAGGCTGAGTAAGATTCCACCCTATGACTCTGAAAAACAAACTGAGGGTTCTAGAGGGGAGGGGGGTGGGAGGATGGGTTAGCCTGGTGATGGGTATTGAGGAGGGCACATTCTGCATGGAGCACTGGGTGTTATGCACAAACAATGAATCATGGAACACTACATCTAAAACTAATGATGTAATGTATGGGGATTAACATAAGAATAATAA